GGGCGCGCGCCCGGCGAGGGCGCCCCCTCCAGGGCCGACTGCAGCCTGCGGGACCGAGCGGAGCGGCGGCTGGCTGGGCGGTGAGTTCCCAAAGGCTGCTCTTTCTAAGACTGGATCCTCCTTCACCTCCCCCGGGGAGCTGGCACACGCGCACGCGGGCGCGCACACACGCGCGCGCGCTGCGGGCCGGCTCGGGGTCCGCGGCCTGATTGCAGAGACAGCCTCTCGAAGCCGGCGGAGGACGCGACGCTGTCCAGGTGCGCACTGGTCCTGCCGAGCTGGGGTCCCTCTCGGATCCCGGGTTGGTGGCCGCCTCCCCAGTCCGGCCTCAGTTCCCTCCTCTGCCCGCCTCCCAGCGCTGCTGGAGCATGAATCATGACGGCGGTGCCTGTGGAAGCCCTGGGCAGGCTCCCAAGCCCTGCACCCATGTTGACAATTATTGAAGTCTAATTTTTATGCTCCGGGGCCCTGCTCTTAAAAGGGTGGGGGTAGGGGTGTTCAAAATCATGGCCTCTGACAAACACCCAGAACTGAACTGCCCGCATGGTAGGTGGTTTTGCGTGGGTGGGCTCAGGGGAGAGCCACTGTTGGGGTGACCTCCTACTCCCCAGCCCCACGTCCCTGTACTCCATTCCACGGACGTGCCCTGTCACTGTGCGGCCCATGTCGGGTGCTAGTCCCCAACCCAGGCAGCCTGAGGCCTATGGGAAACAGACCTGTAGAGAGGAGGCGACCTGAAGAGAGAAGTTGGAGTTGCCGGCCTGACATTTCTCGGCTAGGCCTAAAAGGAGGACCCCAGCGGGGCGGGAAGATCTCCTGCATCTTTAGACAGGAGAGGAAGGGAAACTGTCAGTTCTGGGGCTGGCCTGTGGGTGCCCAGGAGGTCATCCTGGGGAGGGGTTGGAGTGACTCCGCCACCAGGGATGCCTAGGAACGCATGCGTGTGGTGCTGTCTCTGTTCGAGCTCCTGCAGGGAGCCTGCTTTAGCTTCCAAGCCTGGAGGTTTCCTCGGAGGCTGGGCCGCCTTACCAGGGGAGCCCTGCCTCCCTGCAGAGATGCCTCCATGGAGCTGCGGCCTCCTTGTTCACCATGCTTGTCACCAGCAGAGCCTGGGGCGCTGAAGCCAGACAAGGCTTCCCACTACCCAGGAGCAGCTCTCTGGCCAGGCCAGGCGGAGGACATTTGGAGTGCCTGGCTAGTGAGTAGCCCAGGCCCTGGGGCAGTTGGCGGAATGCTGAGTTGGTTCTGCTGCAGTACCTACTGGCACAACCAGGGAGGGGCAGGAGCATCCACTGCAGGGCCTGGAGCTGAGGGTCAGGGGCGGAGGAGAGCTGGGTGCCCTGAGTCCTTGGCAGTGGCCAAGCCCTGGGCTGTGCTTGGAAGCTGCAGTGCATGCAGGCCTGCCTGGGTGTGGGAGGCCCCAGGGACTGCAGCTGTTCGCAGAGGAGCTGGAGAAGCCTCTTACCCCAGACATTGAAAATTAGCTTGACCAACTGCTCCGGATTATCCTGTAACAAGCAAAACAGCATGTATCCAGAAAGACTGCCTGTCCCAATGCGTCGCTGCAGGCCAGGCCCAGGCTGGGCATGACCAGGAGGATGCTATGGTGAGTCAGGCTGCACGTGGGGGTTGTGATGGAGTGTTTCTGTGCACACTCGTTTACAGGGGTGCACTGGGGAGGGGTGTGGGTACAATTTCAGAAGGAAACCCACGTGGAAATGGAGCATCCTGGGTCTGCAAAGGCATGCTTGCCCTTGTACATACCCACCCACACATGAGTACACGTATCCATGTGTACATGTGTGCACCTATACACACCCATGTGCATTCAAACATGAACATCTATACATATGTACACATCTCCACGTGTGCACACATGCTTGCACACTCACATGCATACACACGCCCACACACACTATGTATGCACACGTTTGCATATGCATACCCATGCAGTGCACCCCATGTTTATCCATGCACATGCATAATATACACTCATGTATGCACATGCACATGTGCACTAACATATCTATGTACATATACTATGTGCACTTATACCCACACACATGTATGCACCCCACATGTGTGCATGCAATCACGTGCACATGCTGTGCACACACCTATTTGTAAATTGTGCGTGAATACTCTTGGTTGTGCATATACATGTATCCATGCCCATATGCTATGCACACATGTGTATGCCTTTGCACACACCAGTGGACCTGTACACATGTGCATTCACATTGCTGCATACACCTGTCTCCATGCACACACCCACTCGTGCACATGCTCACATGGACGTGCACACACGTGTGCACAGGTGCTATGGACTTGCTCACGTCCTAGGCTGCAGAGAGGACATACTTCTGGGCCCTCGCTGCAGGCATTTCTTCCCAGGGTCAAGGCCGTGTTCTGCCTCCCTTCATTGGTCTGCTCACCTCCACCAGCTCTTTCAGACAGTTCTATGGCCCTCTCCCAGCAGGCTGGGAGGCCATTCGTCACTGCCTCATGTGGACTCTGGACCTTGGCACATGCCGTTCTCATGGCCTGGAAACCCTTTGCCCTGTCTCTGGGGCTTTCTTCCTTCAAGATTTGTCGCATGAGGTACCTCCTTCAGGAAGACTCTCCAATCTCCCCATCTCCCAGGCTGGATCCGGGGTTGCTTTCCTGGCCTTCTGCATACCCCTTGGGGCATGGCCAATACCAGTGACCATGTGTCTCGGCTGTGGGCTCTTTAGTGTGGACTCTGTCCCTGCTGCCTGATCTGAGGCCTGGCTCCCAGCTCATAGTAGGAGCTCAATTAAAGTATGGTGGCCGGATGTGGATTTAAGTTCCTGCTTATTCCCTTACTTACTCTCTGGCAGTGGTGAGCCTTCTGCCTTCCTGGGCCTCAGTTTTCCCTCTCTGTAAAATGGGGGCCTTGGACAAGATGGTTCCAAAGTAAAGGGTGGCTCTGAGTTTCCTCCCTCTCCTGCACTTGGCTGTGAGCTCCTGGAGTGAGCATTCCTTGTATCTGCTCTGACCCTCTTTGCCCTGGGGTGGTGCCTACAGGGAGGGGGAAGAGGCTGGAGTCCAGGAGAGGCCCCTTTCCGCTTCACCCCGGCTGGTGTGGAACAGAGGGAAGCCAGCTCAGCTTTCTTGTCTCGAGACCAAGAGGACATGTCTCTCCTTCAAGCTGAGCTGAGGATTTTTTTCCCCTATGTTTATTTGAAATTTCATTTTTAAAGACAAGGCAGGGAACCGTGAGGCTTGCTTCTCTTCCTGTCCCTCCCTGAAGAATTCCAGAAACCGATTTGTCTCGTCAGAATGTGGCAGGGCCCTGCCGGCCTGGCCTGGCTCTCTGTGCACTGACCCGCAGACCGGATCCGCTGCATATTGATCAGCCTTCATGTACTTGGCCCTGCTGAGTTCTTACAGCGCTGGCGGAAGTCCCTCTGGGGAAGGAACCGCTTCAGGGACTGCTTTTGATTTGCATCGAGTGTAATGGATTACAGCAGTGGGTCGGTGTGTCTTGTGAGCACTCTCCGTGTACCTCAACCCTGGCCCTGCTGGAGGACGAGCTTGGGTCTGCCCCACCCATCCCCTGCCTGCCCGCTCCCTGCTGAAGCCTGCCCCAGGCCTGACCTGGTCCCTCCCTGCAGGGCCTTTCGGATGCCTTGGCTGCGGCTCTAGACACCGGAGCTTGGCATTGAAGGCCAGGCCTCATATCATAAGCCACAATCGTTCATTCAGTCCGCAGATACTTCTGGGTGCCAGCCCTGGAGCTGTAGAGGTGACTTGGGCAGGGGCAGCCCTGGGATACCTGCCCTCCCACCCTCCTGGGCCTCGGCTTAGGGATACGCAGGTGATGGCCCAGGTCTGGACTCTGGCTGACCAGGTTTTACCCATGTGACTTGGAAAGGTGCCCTTCCTTTCCAGGCCTCCCTGGCCATTGTGTAGACTCCTCAGAAGGGTGTCTGCCCAGGGCCTGCTCATCACAGTGTAGCTGCAGGAAGGAAGCCACGTGACCCAGTCCCAGGCAATGAGATCTCCCCAGTGACAAGCAGGAAATTTGCAAGAAGGCCCACTGCCTTCCTTCCTGTTTGGTCCCTCACATGTGAGGATGTGATGCCAGGAGCTGCAGCAGCTGTCATGAGACCAGGAGGAGCCTAGGATGAGGATGGGAACCACAGGAGGAGAGCGTCCCTAATGCCTATATTTGTGAGCCTCTGTGGACCCGCCCTGGAGCCACCTTGTGGCCGGACTTCCTCCTGCCAGGAGAGATCCTAAGTGGCCTCATTGTTTAAGCCCTTTGGGAGGAAGCTTTGTGACTTGCAGCTGTACGCGACCTAATCAATTTGCTGTCCACAGCCCTGTTGTGCCTCCTTTGGAGAGAGTCACCAGTGAGTCTGTGGGGGGCAAAATAACGCAGCAAAAGGGGCTCAGCGGTTGTGATTAAGTTAAAGACCTTGCACTGGGGGCTCTGTCCTGGATTATCCAGAGGGCCCAGTATAATCACGTGGGTCCTTATAAATGAAAGAGGGAGACCGGAGGGTCTCAGGAAGGGAGATACGATGACAAGAGCAGGTTGCAGTGATTTGAGGAAGGGGCCACAACCAAGGAGCGCAGCAGCTCGAGAAGCCAGAAGGGCAAGGAAACAGCTTCTCCCTGCAGCCTCTGGAGGAACCAGCCCTCTGGACCCGTTTCAGACTTCCAGCCTCCAGAACTGTGAGGTACTGCACATGTGTCATTATAAGCTGCTATGCGTGTGCAGTTCTTTAAGGCGCCGTAGCAAATGAAGACGGTCCTGGGCGTGTGAAGGATGAACGCAGTGCATCCCACAGGAGGGA